CCCAAAACCCCAAAACCCCAAAACCCCAATGGTATAGATATTTAGATATCAGTTGCACTCAGTAAGTTTGTTAATTTAAATTATAAAACATTAATTATACTTTGATGTCGTAATTCAGAGGTCGAGGTGGATTTAGAGGGAGAGGTGGTTTCGGTTCAAATTCATCAGCTGGGGGAGCTAAGAAGAAATTTTTTAAGTGCCCTAAAATGGCAGCTAACTAACTCAATCAATACTATTTGGAATTATTTGTTAAACTAAAAAAAGATGCTGATCTTCGCTAGATCAGTCATATCTCAATGTCCTACAAGAGAATTATCGGGGCTCTAGCTAAATACCCTATGCCAGTTCTATGTGCATAATAAACTACTTAGCTTGAGGGTGTGGGGGATACTCTTGCTTAAAGGTTTTAGAAAATGATTGAGGATAGAGAAAAAGAGTTTGAAAATGGTTTGTTTCAAATTGAATTATTGAAAGGCTAAAAGAAAAGTATAAGTGAAGATGCCAGAAAATTCGCTGGCTTTACAATAGAGATAAGTGAACTGAATAATATAAGTGCAATGAATCTAAAAGATTATTTAATCAAGAAGGATAGATAGATATTCAGGAAAAATAATGGTCTTGACGACGAAGATGAGGTTAGTGATTCTAAGAAGCGTAAATTTAATGAGATTAGTAACGAAGAGGGCAAAAAAGAAGCATCGAGTGGTGGAGGAAAGAAAGGCAAAGGATAAGCAGGTAATACCTCGGCCTTTTTAGATGTAGGATCTGTTTCGTGGTCTATGCTTATTGCTATTTACATACTCACTCTCCATGATGATAGAAAAACATTCTATATCACATTGGATAGCATAAAAGAGATGCTCGAAGTGCTCAAGAATGAGTTCAGTGATTTTATACCCTTTGAAAATGAGAAATTACTTATGGATCAATTCGCTATTGGTGATCTAATTAAGTTCAAAGAGAATTAATTCATTGATGTGATTGATCAAAATAATGCCATTTCTAACAAAGATGCTGATATTTGGAGATTTAAGATGACTGATAAAGGCAAGAATAGAGCTAATAACTTGTGCAAAAGTGTTGGACTCTAAATTCAACTTGAAACAGACTTAGAAAATCCTACAAAAAATAAGATTACTATAAATATGTATGACAAAGACCTTATGCAAGTGGTTGACTAGCTATATCTAAGAGATGGAACTTAGGTTCAGCAGATGAAATAGGAAAGCGGAGGAATACTTGGAAGAAATGAGATTTTCTAACCATTTATTACATAGATTGAAAAAGAAATAGATGGACTGCTTTTCGAACTTTGTACTGGCAATAGCAATAATAGAGAAGTTTTGAACGCATAATAAAAGAAAGAGGAGCAGCAAATGAGCATGATAATGAGTTAAATGTTCAATAATAAGTATTAAGATTTAGAAGATGAGGAGGATGAGGATGATAGAGTAGAAGAATTGCATGGCGTGGGTGGAGATGATATAATTATGGACGATTAACCATTCACAATAGAGTCTCTAGCAACTGTTTAGCTATAAAGTGATTTAATGAACTTGATGAGTTCTCCTAAAAAGGATGAATAGGTTTAGAGGTCAAATGTCTCTATAAATAAATAAGAAAGAAAATTAAAGCAAGAATAAAAATAAATAATCAAATAGATCAATCGACTGGATGATATGTCAAGTGAGGTTTTACTGTTTGTTGATAATAGAGAAAAGAAATCTTAAGCTTAGGGTAATTATTTGCATGAAAGGCTTACCAAAACAGGGGTAAATTGCGAACTTAAAGCTCTACCCTTAGGAGATTTTATCTGGGTCCTTAGAGTAAGACAGTAAGCACCAGTTGAAGAATGCATTGAAGATGATGAGCCAGATGAAAGAACACAATCAGCGATGGTATCAAAATCCAGAAAGGCTAAGTAAAAAGCAGGCTAAGTCACTAAGAAAACAAAAAAGAAAGCTGGAGTTTTTAGAGAGTATATTGATTACGTCCTTGACTTCATTTGCGAGAGAAAAACTGCTGATGATCTAGCAGCCTCTATACTAGATGGTAGGTATGAAGAGCAAAAGTGTAGATTGAAAAATAGTAACATTAATAATGTGATATATTTGGTCGAAGGAAAGCCAGGTTAATATTGCAAAATCCCTTAAACAGTTCTTAATAAGGCTTAGATTCATACCTAGATATTTCATGGCTTTAATGTTCTAAGATTAGATACTATTCAAGAGACTTTGAAGTGGCTGACTGATATGACTAGGGAAATCAAGAGTAAGATTGATGTTTTAAAGCAGACTTAGAAAAACTTTGAGCTAAATATTATTGATAATCTAATCGATTTTAAGCATTTTGCTCTTGAAAGCGGGAAAAACTCAAACTTAAATGTACAGTAGATATTCTCTAGATAACTGAGAACTATAAAGGGATTAGGAACAGATCACGTGTCTACAATATCCAGAGTCTTCAAAACACCTCGTATTTTATATGAAAGTTTCGGCAAATGCAGAGATGAGAAATAATGCTTGAATCTGTTTAATTCTGGGAAAATGGAACTAATGAGGAACGAATAAATGTACAGATAAGCTATCAATTAAGAAAACACTTTGATTCCAGGTGATGAGGCTAATCCAAGTATTCCTAAGAAAATAGAGGATACAGATAGAATAGATCTCTAAAATGTCATAAATGCCGCAGATCAACGGTTATTCCCCAAGGTATTGAGGCAATTTGAGAAGGACTTCGGGGTTAAAATGCGTAAGATTAATAAAAATTAGAGCTAAAACCTTTGGGAGTTCTTTTGCAAAACAAATTATAAGAGACTAAGCATTAGTGGACCAAATCGTAATAATTACGATGAGTTCATGGAGGATAATGATAATAATAATGATCATTAGGAATTTGAAGATGACTATGATTAGAATTAAGAATAAGTATTGTAATTCGAGTGAACTGTTTAAATCAAGAAATCAAATTTATAAATAGATCGAGTATATATACCTGAATTGTGTGGATTGATATTTATTAAAACTTAACTTTAATTTCATAAATTTTCCTATTCAATTAACTCCACTTTTTGAAAAATAGGGTTTAAGCATCACATTTTTATGATAAACTCAATTTCTTCCTATTTTAAGAATCTCACTTAGGATTTAAGCATTAGAATGGTGTTACCAATCAGCAGTTTTAGCTCTTTCAGAGGATTTATATATGGAAAATCTTGAATCTAGATTACTCGTGCTATATCTATGCTTTGTGGCTACACTTGACAGTAAATTCATATTTGGGTCTAATTTTCTGATCTCTGCTAAATTTTAATTAAGCACTTTGAAATTCTATCTGATTCGACTGCTTCTGGGATCTACAAACATTTAGACCCTTCTCTTTGACTGTTCTGTTATTTTCATTATTTCCTATTGTAAAGCCTTTTACTCAGCTTCTGCATCATACCTATGTTTCCATTCTTTGTCTACTTAATTAGAAACTGCTCTTTCTATTTGCTCAATAACCTAATCAGCTCTATTCTTTTTCGCCAATAATGGTTTGGTTTAATTTTATTACAAATCAGCTACACTCTAAACCCTCTTAATATTTCTTCTTTTTTTCTTTTACCTTGATCTCATAATAGCTGTTGTGACATTGGATTGAATGGGTTGAGGCATGTCATCATCATTATCATCGTTAAGGTATTCATTGAGCAGCATGAATTTCTACTGGAAAAATTCAGTGATGTGCCTTTCTTTGGAAATTTCTCTACTCGGATTGAATCTAGTGTCCTTAATATACTCTGAAAGCATCAGGCCTTTTACACTCTCTGGATTGCCATTTTATGTTTAATTTATTCCCAATACTTTTTGGCTTAAATTCGAATTTAGTCTTGTATGGCCCTAGGTCTTGATATCTCTTGTGTTTTAGCTTGCATAATTCACCTATGATTAATTCTAATGCTAAATATTGGCTGTAGAATGTCTCTCAGTGTGATAATTGAATTCATTTCGTTATTGTTATTTTTCTTTATTCGGTATTGCTGTTTCAATTAGAGTCAATGGTTGCTAATTTACAGATTCTTAATCCTTTAATACTTCAAATAGTTTAGCGCCATGCTTGACTCTAAGCTTACGATTATCAGCAGACATCATAAAGAATTGAAGCTCCTATGATTCCAGTCTCCTTTTTTCTGTGAAAAATTTACGCTTTTTCATCGTTTTTTCTATATCTCGTTTCTTCATTTTTGTGAGTATAATTAGATTATTCTAGTACAATTAAAATCTATAAATCTATAATAAAAGAAATTAAGTTAAAATAGGTTAGGAATTAATTATCTCAAACAGTATAAAAATGAGCTTTTAAAATCAGACTTCAACTTCGAGAAAGTAAGCTATTACTACTCATACTGATTTGAAATTAAAAATCAAAGATAAGTTTACATATGAGTAGACTATAGATTTTATGGATAAAATTGTTAATTCAATGAAGAAAAAGAGGCATTATAGACTAAAGAAATTCTAGCCTGTCTATGTAAATCTACCACTGATTAAAAATACATATGAGGTTGGTCTAGGAGGAAAAAACGAGTAGCAATCTATTATAAAAAAGGAAAATATCAAAAGCAAAAGAAGTAGAAATATATCAGAACTAAAAAGCGAAACAATAAAACTCAAAGAAATCGCAAGAATTAATAACAGTGAAAATATTACTGACGATAATACTTAAACAAATTTTAGAGCAGATTAGCAATGGTAATAACCAAGCAATATTTCAAGAAATTAGCAAGGCATGATGAATCATTATCATTCCTAGTTAAATAAGACAGTATCCTTAGAGTAGAATAATTCTCAATTCTATTTGAACTAGATGAAATAAGAACATAAGGTGAATGAAAAAGTTACGAGAAGATTTTTGAGATAAGTAACTGATGAGCATTAGAATTCAGATGAGTTTCAAACTCCTATTATTGGTATAACACTATTTATCGAGAGTGAGTAATTTAATGAATAAAATAGCAACTAGCAAAGAGAGCTAAAAAAAGTAAGGATAAAGTCAAATACCAATAGGTTCAAGAACAGTAATTTAGATTATAACCAAAGATCGAAATCATTCGATAAAGGCAAGGAAATAGGAAAATAATAAAAAAGCAAATAGAATGAGTTGATTTATGCAGTAGATAAATTTTAACCCTCAGAAGATTTAATCTTATTCTAATCGAACCCAAAACAAATTAAAGAAACTACTCGAAGTAAGAAATCAAAAAGGAAATAGAATCAAACTTTGGATGACATCTAGCCCATTAAGGATTATCTATTTAATACAGCAGAGAATTTTAACACTTCTTAAAAGAAGTCTAGAAAAATGCAAAAACTAATGCAGAAAAGATTAAATCTCTCTTACTATGATTCAGACTATAATTTATAGCCTCCTTAGAGCTAATAAAAATTCAAAAAGAGGAAATCAAGTATATAGCCTAGTAGAATTCATTCAAATTCAATGAGATCGTAAAGCCATTCACCGAGGAAAGAAAAAGAGTAGAGATAATCTATGGTTCAATTAAGTAACTAAAGGCCCAAGAGAATTCCTATTGACTAAATACCTAAACCATTATAATTTGAATTAAAAGATCTATACAAAGTATCGACCAAACTAAGTGTAAAAGACTTAAGTAAATTTAAGATTAGAAGATCGATACTAGGAGGTAATACTAATGGATTGGGTTAAGATGGAAATAGTGGAAGTGATTAAAATTTGAATATAAGTCAAAGCACACTTTCTGACTAATAATCTTCATAATTGGCTCTCAAAATAATTCAATAGATACAGGATTAAGATTGGGCAAATACATCACTATATGGAGACTTTACAAATCAAAGTATAAATAGTGCATTACAGTATAAAATTAGCAATATTGTGCTAACAGAAACTGAAACTAGATACTACTAATCTTAACTTAAGAATTTTGACTTTGATTACTCTTAATCACTTTTCAAGAAGTGCTTGGAAACTATGAAGTATTTAATGCAAAAGATAATTACTTAGGATATAAGCTCTAAAATTATTAGTTTTTTTATCCAACGGCATATCAATGAGAATTTGAAAGATGAATTAGTATCATTGCAATAAATTTTATATAAATGTGAGTTGCTTTACGAAATTACTCACCTGCTTAAGAATATTTTCAAACTAATTGAGAAGTTTAAAGTAATTTATATTGTTTATTAAAAATTCATAGAGAGTAGATAAGGAAGACTAAGATACAGCTTAAGTCATATCAGAGAGATTAAAGAATTAAATAAAGATTGCAGAATAGGATCTTTTAGTAGCTTTTGGGGGCAATAGATTTTAAGAAATCCCTATAAAATTTATTTTTAAATAAGAGGTAAAGACTATTTGATTCTAAATAAATATAATATAGGACATTTACTAGTTGATATCAATATGATTTAATTGCTATCTTAGAATGATTAAATGAGTCAGGGGTTTTGGGGTTTTGGGG